CTCTCCTCTGTCTCTGATGAACTTGATTTTTTCGACACATTTTTCCTTCCTGGCTTGCTCTTTTCCAAAGATGCTCGATTTTGTGAAAATTCGGAGAGTCCCTGTCTAAAAGCTCCTAGATTCACACCATTGTCAACCAAGATGCTTGTAACACCCATTTTAGATACCTAAAGGTGAGAACCACAAAAAAGAGAGGTCATTCATTAACAAAAATAAACAAACAAGAGAATTGAGTTAATTGCGACATTGTCATGTCCTTCAAGGTGTACCAATGGAGAATGTTCTCAAAGAAAAAAATAACTAAAAATTTGGGGTGAGTTAGATTACTGTTTCTATGTTGCGATCCTCGTCATCAAAGAAGAGCATCTCGTTGTATGGGATTTGCGTCCTCCTATGAATTCGCTGAAAGTGGTCAGTCTTGTGCGTCCAACTGGAAAATATCTCCTGCAACATAATTAAAGAATCATTATCATGGTGAATGTTTGGAAATATCTTTTAGCAAGTTTCCTTTTTTTTTTCTTTTGGAAAGCATTATGAATCTCAGACATAAATATCTTCATCAGTCAAATCCCCACCGTTCTAATATCTCTATCTAGAATCAAATTTTAATTATATAGTCTTGCAATTCGACAGCAGAAAGAATACTTTCAAATTGGAAGTCAAATTCAAACACGAGCCAATATTGCCTCATAAAAACAAGTAAATTCTGACACGCCTTATTGTTACATAAGTTGATACGTTTATGTTATTTTTTTCTTTTGTTTTTCTGATAGTTTAGTAGTTGTTACGTGTAAATATCAAATTCTAACACATAAGCTTTGCAATCCTCGGGAAAATTTGATCCTATTGCTATAGACAAAGCTTACCTGAGCAACAAACATGGATTTTATCCCCAACTTATCGAGAAATGAGTTGGCTATATCAGGAGTTGGTGATCTTGATGCAATAGCAATACCAACACCTTTTTCCTTTAGAGCATACAGAATGCCCTTAGCATGAGGATACAGTCTTGGAGTGTCACGTTTGGACCGACATTCACTACATATTAGTGAAAATAAACAGTAATATTCATGAAATTTCACATCTAAATTTCAAATTGGAGTTTCCAGGCAAATTTTTGAGGAGCATGTTCAATTATTATCAGTTGATGAGGGAAAAATTCTTCCTGAAATTCATTCGTATATTACAGAAATTTAAACATTTATTACGATGGGAACAAACGAGAATGATAATACCTCACAGCAACTTCAATTATTCAAAAAATAAAATAAAATAAACCACGGCAATGACTAATGGGATTTGAAGAATTGACGAAGATAGGGGGAAAAAAACCACCAATTGACAAGATTCGGAATGAAATCGATTGTCAGACTGACACTGCAAAATCTATGAGATTTTCATAGTATTTTTACTGAAATTTAAACTTTTTTATAAAGAAAACAAACGAGAAAAATAACACCTCACCGCAACTTCAAAGAACAAAAAAATAAAAAAACACCGCATTGATGCGTACCAAACTCATGGATATGAAGGGTTTACGAAGAAAAAAAATCCTCAATTTACAAAATTTGGCATGAAATTGATTATCAGACTGACACGGCGAACAGAAAAGATTAAAGAATCCGAGAAAGAATTAGATAAATTACCAGTAGAAAGGCCATAGAGTGTAATCGAGATCGAAGACGACAAGGCGAGGCAGCAGCTGACAGAGTCCCATAATCTCCATAGCCTCGTTCTTCACCCCCTCGTCTCCCATCTCTTAATCCAATCTGCTCTTTCTCTTTTCTCTGAAAAGAATTTTTCTACGAATTTCAGTGGAGGAAAAAATTAAAGAGGTAAAATATAATGAGAAAAAAAAGAGTTTGAGAGGATAAATTTTTTTTGGGATATTTTACCTTTCAATTATTCAATTATTTAATGAAAATATTATTTTTCATTTTGAATTATCAAAATATTACTTTGAATTTTTTTACACCTTTTAAGATTTNAATTTCTGATAAATTTTACTTATTTAAGATTGAAATTTGTTAAGACTTTTTAAGACTGCTACGATTTAGGATTTCATAAAATTCTTTCTGAATCTGAAAATCTCACTTCAACTTACTTTCAGATTTAGGATTTTATAGAATTCTTTCTGAATCTGAAAATCTTAGGTGCTTTATTCGTTTAAGATTCTAAAAGACTCTTTAAGATTTTATTTAATGTAAGATTTCATAAGATTTTATCAGTTCTCGTGGATTTTATAAGAGACAGCTCTTGAGCTCTTACAGCATTTTCTATGGTGGTAAATCTTTCATGTTGTGAAAACTCTCATGTGATATATCATTCTAAGTCATAGCCTCTGATGGCAGCTAGGATTTTCTGCTCCCATATCAATAATTTCCTTCATTGAGCTTTACTGAAACCAAGCTGCTTTGCAGCTGAATAAGAACATCACCAGAGTTTGTAGATGGTAAAGATGTGGTTTGTATAGCCCGTGAAATTGGGAAAAGCCCGATTACTTTTCTCTTTTCTTGTTATGCGGTATCCAGCCTTCTTGGTGGGATGAGACATCATTTTCATGAAAATCATTAAAACACCTAAAATACCCATCTTCTATTCACTTCTTCGTGACTTCCACCATTCTCATGTTCATCCCCGACGACATTCCCCTGCCTCCATCCCCACTGCCACCATCTCTCTCCCCTCCGTTGCCGCCGCATCCCCCTCCCTGTTAGTCCCCGCCGAGACCTCCACTTCATCTGACAGACAGAAAAGTAGAAAAAGACCTCCGCAAGCTCTACCGCTCCGAGGAGAGTCGCACCGCCGCCCACGACGGCCCCCGCTACCGGTTCTCCTACCTCGCCGCGCAATGAATCAATTAAACCGCCGTCAAATTTTCAGAATATATCAATTTTGTCTGGTGAGCTTTTTTCTCCTTGTCAATTGGATTTTTTTTTATTGTGTCGCTAAGACATGAAATATTAATTTTGTGGCTAAAGTGTGATTTGGGATGAATTTTATGCACATCCAATTTGAGGTGAGGAAGGATGATGACAAAAAATATTATTTGTTATTAGGTTTTGGGATTAGTTTCCTGCGCATCCAATTTGAGGTGGAGAAGGATGGGGATCTTAAATGGGTAGTGTTTGTGTACATAAGGGAAAATTATGAAAATTGAATTTTGAAGGAATGGTCAAAAGGTAATTTCAATCTAAAGGATATAATTTGTAATCCTAAACCAAACAAGTTAATAAGCTAATTGAATTGGTTGATAGCCTTTGAAACAATCAAGAAGATTATATCAAGCACAATCCATTCTTGCAACCAAACTGACCCTAAAAGACAATATTCCATCTTGAACGTGGGAAGTTTGTTGCTGCATGGGCCGCATGGTGACTGGGCAGAGTGAGCTGAATTGTTGGAGTCTCTTTCTGATGTGGCAATGCAAACATGAGGATGCTTTGACTCCTTAATAGTTGGAATACCCAATTGGAACTCACTAATCAGAAATGTAAGACATACTTAAGATGCACATTTATTTTAGTTAGAACTTTAAAGTACATAAAAAATATATGTATTTTTTTTTTGCTTTAAAAATTGGTATGTTAGTCTTAATTTTTTAGTTAAAAATTTAATTACTGTTTACCATTAAAAATTTTCAAATTTTAATTACTTAATATTTTTTTATTTGTTACCCTTTTTATATGTAGTAAACTTGTGGTATATTTTCTTACATAGATTGGAAATGTTCGTACCAAGAAAAGGGTACATAATGGATGCAAACTTGTAACTATTATCGATATTAACTATGTGAATTAAAAATAAAAATAAAAATAAATGAGTTGTATGTTAAACTACCATTCAATTACTTCTTTAAAGGGAACACCATAATAGTTGTAATATATATTTTCAATGAATATGAAAATGAGTTAGTTACTTAATATTTTATCAAACATTAGAAAAAAAATCGTAAACTTTTTAATCTTATAAACAACATGAAAGTACATTTTTTTCAAATATCATAAATAAATAAATTAGAAATATTAAATATTATTTTATCTTATATGATTATATTAGTTGCAGCCTAATAAATAAGATATTTTGATATCAACGACATTATATAAAACACGTAAAAAAATAGGACACAATACATATAAATGTGCTTTAATTCTTTTAACAAATAAAATATTATTTGTGGATAGAATAAGAAATAAATAAAATAATAGTAATGCAAGGGGGAAAATAAAAAATGACGATTTTTTTAGACAAGTATGAATATCAATATCTAGAGACAAGTCTTTTAAAATGATTGTTGCTATAGTTTAAATTCTCATAAATAATGAAACATATTGTCAAATGTGAATTATTAAATAATTAAAAAATTAAAAACTTTCTAATACATAATGTATACTTTAATAATGACTTCGTAATAATAAAGTTTACAGATAACTAAGAGTATCATAATATAGTAGAATTTTAATTTTCTCCTCTCAAATATGTTAACAAATGATATGTTTCTCAATATTGTCACATTATTTTGTATTGTTTTGTTTTGCATTGTTGAGGAATCAAGAAAATATCTTTATCTTTAATTTTTGAAGTATTATGTATGATCCAAAAAGTTAGACAATAAAAATATTAAAGAAGTTATTAGACACAATTATTGCAAATCAGAACGTATCTGAAAGATATTATAATAAACAACTATAACATCATTGCAACAACCAATATTGTCAATGATTTGCAAACAAGAGATTATATAGTTTTTTTATCTTCCAAATAAATAACACTGAAAATGGAATCTCAAAGCCTGATCAAAATATTTTTTAATATTTGAATGAAGTTGTCACTTTTTGATAGCATATTTACAATTCTACTGGTGTATTGTGCTAAAAAATATGTGCAGTTACTTTAGAGTTTATTCTTTCATATAATGTTTGATGATTTCAAAACAATTTAGTGCCTCGGGTGAAGTACATATAACCAACTTTTATTTAGAGATAAAATTCATTCTCATCCCGTGAGGAGATGTCTATATGTGGTATGTATCAATTTCTCGATATGGAGAGAGAGTAATATAGTAGTTTATACAATGATAAAAAAAAATATTAGCAATTTTAATGACATGGTTAGTTATTTCACAGAGATATTCATGAACTGTTAGCAAAAATAAATTATAAAGGCCATACAATAATAAAGTGACTATATATTTGACCAAAATATTTCTAAGTGTTTGAATAAAATAAATATTTTGCCAAATGAATTAAGACGAATTTTGCAGTACTGTTGGTGTATTTTGCTCCAATGAGTATGAATATTTCTTATGATAACGTTAAAACTAAAATGAAAGAAAATCAATCTTGAATCATCTAACATAAATAAATAAAAAAACTAATGCAACTATTATATACATTATGTTTATATTGTATTATTTAGTGTTTTATTTTTCATTAGGAACTCATTTTTAATATATTATTGTTGGGGATGTAAATATTATTTCATTCTTTTTATATTAGAACATTATTATACTATCTTTGAAAAAGAACAACAAATATTAGTAGCTCATTTTTTCCACTTTTTATTTCGTTTCTACAATGATAATATTTAATAAATTAATAAATTTATTTTACGAAACTCAATCGACAAATCACATTCACCACCAAGTGCATCGCACGTGCACTTTACTCGTATATATAAATATATACACACAAGCCTTAGACCCATGTGTTAAAATGCCTAAATGAATCTTTGCCTACATCAACGCACCCAAACACATAATCAAAGGCCCGTTCACGATAAAAGAACGCCTATTTTAATAATATGCCTTTTAACCAAAATAACCTTACGGACAGGTTCAGCCTTCTGTTCCTCCTTGAAGCATGCAGAATATACACATTTTTACAAAAATAAACCAGTTACTGTATCAGTAAAGAGGATTTTCTGGCCCTTCTAACATTTTCGGTCTCGCTTTCTTCTTCAGAATCCTCAACAACACAGGTCTCAAAATCGTCAGACGAAATCGAGAGGCTACCATGCCACTTTCCCTGCCTTCCAAAGGAAGATGCAACTTCACAAACACAATCATCCTTGTTTTGCATGTCGAGGATATGCATTTTTCGCGATATGTAATTATTGGGTGGATAGTGCTCGGGCATCAGATCACAATTTCCTCTGGTTTTGTATCTGTTTGATGTGTCCTGTTCGTAATTCCACAACAATTAATATAATACATAATATATTTTTTTTCAAATTATATAGAAAAGATAATTTTAGTGTTACAACAATTGAAGCCAACCAATTAGAGTTGTCAAATTGTCAGGTTCATGATGGCGTGATCTGAGCCTAGTGCGTGAAAAGAACACAAAAAAGAAAACTGGAATCGAAAAAAAGGTCTGAAAAAGGATTTTTTTTTTTTTTTTCCAAGTCAAGGGGATACCTCCATCGGCAAAGTCATGTTGCGGAAAAGATTAATTGGCACCCGTAGCTTATCATGCTTATCCTTATTTACTGAGCTGTTATTTTTTGACATGGCTGAGAATGATTGTTGCTCTTTAATCTCAAATTCATCACTGGAATTACTGTCTCCTTGATTTCTAGCACCACTTTGAAATTGTTCATTATGATTTTTTCTGTCTTTAGCTATCCCGTGGATCAGTTTTTTAATATGATCCCGTTTTTTAAGAGAAACCTCAGCAGCAAGGAACCAATCATGATTGAGCTGCAGAAAGAGAACAGCTTCATTATTCTCCCTCCACATGATAAAACACTAAAGTAGCCATCATGAATGCCAAAAGAACTTAAATAAAGTCAAAAGCCCATGATCATAATGCCTTTTCAGTAAGCTTTCATGGGAGAAACATTTTAGTTCCATGTTCGACGCTCAAAAGGAACAAAACCACTTACACAGTTGACGTATTTAGTTGAATCGAAATTCAACTCCAAAAAAAGTTCTGCATAATGAAGCAAGAAGAGCCCGCAGTCAAACAAGTTTTCTTGCTGTGGAAGCTGAAACAAAACATTAAAATGGAGTTACAATCTCAAATACTGTTATAAATGCAAATAAGGTCTACTACGCAAATTATTCGAGTAAAAATTATGCTGCATCTTAATATTTCATTGGAATTGCTGACAATTTTCACCTTCAAGTTTAAGTATCAATCCATAATCAAAACCAACTCCTAATAACCTCATAACAGAGATGACTCCCACTTTCTCTCCATCAACTTAAAATAATTAGCAAGCTGTAGCATCTGAAATTACCAAACCAAGTCGTCCTCAAGATTAAATCGGTTCTCGCTAAAAATTTGAATCTTAATTCGAAATGACTTAACTCAATCCTACTAATCGTGTCTCCAACTAAATATATCCACCGTCGATATTTCATATTTAATCATTTTATATAAA